CTTCCCTGCCCCGTAACTTTAAAATTTTTTAAATGTTTTTATTTAGATATATTTTACATATCACAAAATTTACCCATTTCAAATGTACAATTCAGTGATTTTCAGTTACCAAGTGGTAAAATCTTCACCATAAATCAGTTTTAGAACATTTTGTCCCTCCAGTTAAGATCTTCATACCTGTTAATCCCTGTGCCTATCCCCAGGCCACACCTGTGAATAAAGCTTCAGTGACACTCTAAAAAAACAAAGAAACAAAGAACTGGGGCCAGCCAGGGCCAGTAACCATTTCAGCCCCTAATCTGGTAGAGTGTCATCCTGGACTGTGTTGAGCAGCTGGGTTAAGTAGCTGTTTATTGACTTCACCCACAGTATTAGAAGAACGAGGCATTGTGTTAGTTTAGATGAAATGCAGGGCTGGCAGTCAAATCCACTCCCTTATAGTCCGTGTTTTTCCTTCAGTTCTACATGTTGACATAAGCTTTCATGGCATCTTCCTTGGAGCCCCTTTCAGTTCATTCCGGGCATCCCACTTGGCCTTGCCTTTGATGTCCAGCATCCCAGGCCATTCTGTATCTGTGTCACCCACGGTCACTGGTTTGTAGCGGCTGTGGATGAACAGCCTGGTCTTGAGGTGCTTACCTTGCTCGGCAGCCTTCTCAAACTCGGCCTGAGAGATGGCGGCAGGGGTGCAGCTTACCTACTTTCTCTCTCTATGGATTTGCCTTTTCTAGACATTTCATATAAATGGAATTATACAACGTGTGGTCTTGTGCATCCGATTTCTTGTGAATTTATGGTGTTTTTGAGGTTGTCCATGTTGTGGCGTTTATCAGTACTTTGTTCCTTTTTATTTCCCAGTAGAATTCCATTGTATGGAGATACCGCATTTTGTCTATCCGTTCACCAGTTAATAGCCAATTTAGGTTTTGATGACATTTAAATTGAAAATCGTGCTTCCACAAATTGTAAATTGCTTTGGACGTGACCTAGTAATTTGTGAATTACCAGATTCTTCTTTGCCAAGGGCATGTGGTACATAATCGTTTGTATGTGAAACAGTTTCCTTGGGTTAAAATTGCAGTTTCTAATTTCATCTCAATGGGTTTTGATAGCACAGAAGTGTAGCTCATCAGATTGATCTCTTCTGCACATTATTTCCTAACTAGAGAATCTAATACCCGCTCTCTTTAATCGTTATGTTCTAAATTCACTTTTAATAGTATTTTTGCCATTGTGTTCTTATAGTGTGGTGTTTGCATGTTGGCTTTTTTAAAATACATTTTTTTTAATATTTTTTAAGCAACTGGGACCTTCATATTAACTTGTTAACTGCATATTACCATATTACCTAGGTTTGGCACACGCGATATATGCTTGCAAAGAATTACTTTCTAGGTCTAGTCAAGGAATGAAATTGAGCGACTTTTATAATAAACTGCCTCACTGGGTCGGTAAGTCTATCTTTGTTGAAATGGCCTCCAAGTTTTTTTTAAAGAGTGCATACGTATTTATAATATACAAACATACATACACGTGTAACACATGTGCACCTACACACCCGTCCCTGTTACACAGGGAAAACAGCATAGGCAATAACAATAGAAAGGCCGAGTTTGAATCCCTATTTAACTACTTATGATCTTGAGTGAATCAGATTCTCTGAGCCTGATTTTTTTTTCTCTGTAGAATGGGATTATTGGTACAGCCTCTGAAATATTATAAAATGGGACATACCTTGACTGGTACCTGACACATTGGAAGTACTCCTTAAGTATTTATTCCTTTTCTTTGACTTGTAGTAGCATCATCACCCATACCATCATATGAGGCTCCATTTTAAAAACAAACTTAATTGTTGTGATCACTGTGATGGAAGTGGTTGTCATTGTGATGATACATTGACATTAGTGAGGTGGGAAGGCAAAGGTTTTCATTTGGCTTACATAGGTTTTATTTTTTTCATTTGTTTATTAAGGTCGTTTACGTACTTAACCCAGACTTGTATATCTTCTGATGTTTCCTTGTGTTTTTCTGGTGTGCACAGATGAGAGAATTCAGAGATGGTGTAACAGGTGCGTCAGCCTGTTGATTGCTGGCTTTAAAGGGAAAAGTGCTTAAGGCAAGAAATATGAAAACTGATCATTTTGCTTCTTATGGGTGGAAAGTGGAATAAAAGTAGATAATCTAGTGTAGGATTGGAATAGGTTTGGAGGTGAATTTCAAAAGAAATAGAATTCTGTTCTTTCTTGCATTTTAATAGTGATTAATTCATATTTTAGAAGTTTACAAATAATATATACAGTTTAAACTAGAAATTTGCATATGACATGTATGTTCATATTTTTATATTCTAGTTTTATTGAGGTGTAATTGACATTCAGTACTATATAAGTTTAAGGTGGACAGCATAATGATATGACTCACATATATTATGAAACGATTATCACAGTAAGTTTAGTGACTCAGTAACCACCATTCTACTTTCTGTTACTACAAATTTGACTTTTTTCCCTTCTTCTTCTTTAGATTTCACACATAACTAACATCATTCAGTATTTATCTTTCTGTATCTGGTTATTTCACTTAGCATAATGTCCTCCAGGTTCATTCATGTTGTTGCAAATGGCACGATTTCCTTCTTTAAGGTCAAATAATATTCCACTTTAAAAAAAAATCCATTCATCTGTTGACAGACACTAAGGATGTTTCCATATCTTCTTGGCTTAGCCTTTCTTTTTTTTAAGCTTTTATGATTTGGCTTTCATTTTCCTTTATAGCGCAATTATCTCACCAAGTGGCAAAAATAATAAATCGTTGCACAATTAGTATTAAAATCAAAGCCATGTGCCTTCACTGACAGTGCTGTTTTCAAGTAATAAGTGCCATTTGAGTTTTCACTAAACATCATCATTTATCATATTAAATTCATATCTGATTCTATGAATAGGTTTTGACATTACCTTTGTAAATAGTTTTAAATTTGTTTTAGTTATATGATATAGAAACATAAGTTTATTGCTGTTACATTTCTACATACTGGAATAACATTATAATAATAAATAACTAAGACACCTGGGAGAAGGGACCACAAGAGTTTCTTTTTTAAAGGGGATCAGTACACTATTAAAATTTGAGAAATAGCATTCTATAAAGTTAATGAAGGCAGGGACTGTATTATATTTACTCTTACATTCTCAGGTTCTACTTCTGTGCCTTACGCACAATAAATACTCAGTATTTTTTGAACTAGGGGCTGCCTGCTCATATATAAACATGTGTGCTTTAGGGACTCTGAATTTCTTTAGGGCATGCTTCAAGTATCGGCCTGAGGATTTCCCAGCCAGCCCATCAAAAGCCGTTGATGTAAGAGTTTTGCCTGATGGCTGTATTTTTCTCACCATCATGACCCTGATCCCAGTACTTTCAAAAATTAAAAGTAATTATTTATTTTGAGAATACATCAGTATGAAGCAACACTAAGCTGTAAACTTCTGTCTGAATTCACGGCACAAAAGCTTTCATCCCACCATAGACTGACCAATAGGTAAAACTTGAGCACATTAAAAAATTTAGGGAAATAATGTATTTTTATAGTATATGCTTTTGTTTTTCTTTTCCTTTTGAAATAATTTTAAGTGCATAGAAAAGTTGCATATTTGCAGTGGACGTGGGGATGTAGACACCTCTTTGAGATTCTGATTTCAGTCCTTTTGGCTACATAACCAGAAGTGGGATGGCCAGATCAGATGGTAGCTCTGCTTTTAATTTTATGAGGGACCTCCATACTGTTTTCCACAGCGGCTGCACCATTCTGCGCTCTGCCCTCCTTGCATACAGGCCCCGTCTCTATGGGAGAGAGATTCACAAGGAGCCACTCACTCTGCTGCTTGAGAAGAGGGGAGAGAAGTTACACCTCTCCCTAAGCCGTTCTTAAACGGCAAATTCAGGCCTTTCTCCCCTGACCACTAAGGCTTGCCTGCTTTTCCACAGCCCACAAATTTCTCAGGAATACAACCCCACAGAGGTTTTGTTTTTGTTTTTTGCTTTTTGTTTTAATTTCTCAGACTGTTTCAGGTAAAATGAATGACCTAAAGACGAAGAGCATTCTCTGTGCAAGCTGGAGTATTACGTTACCGTCCCCCCACCCTGGAACAGAGTGCCACCCTGGCCCCCAGCTCCACTGGTACCGTCCCGCGGTCACTGTGCCTCCTGCCATCCCTCTGCCTGCTCCAGGTCGCCACTGTCCTGACTTTCAGCAAGTAGATTTTTTTCCCTATTTTTTACTTAACGTAAATAGAATCATGGCAGTGCTCTTTGGTGCCTAACTGTCCCCACTCAGCTTTGGTTGTCTGTGGGACTCCCCGTGTTGTGTGGAGGCCCCCGTTCTGCCACTGCTAGCCGGGAGGCGGTGGAGAGCAGGGTTTTTCCTGTGGTGTTTGGCCAGAGGACAGCAGTTCTTTTTCTGTCTTAACCGGGTTGCCCCTTTTTGTTCTTTGGGTTAAGAGAGCCGGCTTTTCTTGCGGCTCTGTTGGCTCTGTGTCCGTTGGTGGTCTTGGATTGCCAGCTTCTCTAGCACCCAGTCTGGGGTAGGTGGGCCAGAAGGGAACGCAGGGAACTCGCCGCCACGTCATTCTTCATTTTGGGGTCCCTCGCCAGTCTTCCTCCTTCTCTCCACGTTTCAGTGGAGTTTTTCATATAATGACCAGAGTTTCTACTGTACTTAGTGGGGGATTAGGGAAAAGCCTATCTAGTCCATCTTCCTGGAAGTGAAAGTCTGTTTTACTTTTGATATCTGTTCTATAAGCTTTCGCAATCGTTAGGAAAAATAAATGAAATATTTTATGCATATGTGGTCAATTAACAATGAAAGTCACCAAAACAAGAACTTTTCGCAGAAATTGAATTTAGGTAAAATATAACCGTATAATTTTTTTTTACATGAAGTTCAAACTGAAAGACTTTAACCCTGTGTAAATTTAAATTCCTGTGCTTAATTGCAGAATCTTTTGACCGAAAAAGTAGAACAGCTGATGGAATGGAGTTCCAGGCGCTCCATCTTCCGAATGAATGGTGACAAATTCCGAAAATTTATCAAGGCGCCACCTCGAAACTACTCGATGATCGTTATGTTCACTGCTCTTCAGCCTCAGCGGCAGTGCTCTGTGTGCAGGTAATGTGTGTATTTAAGCAGCTGAAAGCTATTATTGTATGCTTTTATATTTATTACAGTTGAGATGAAAGCGTGTAATCGAATGAAGCGTTTGTTCAGTATGGTAGTCAACTATACCTGCGTGCATTTAAACATAAACTCAAAGTCAGTGTGTTCTAGGAAATGACTTTGATAGGCTAATTTTTTTTTATTGTATAAGATATTTACTGACCAGTCTACATGTAATTGTAAGACAGATTTGCTTTCTTTATGTCCTGTATAAAGGTACATAGGTTATAGAATTTGGTTCAAATATTGCCTTGTAGGTCACTTACTTCTATCTTACGGGCAATGACCCCTTAACATACTATATGTAAGTAGTTTAATAGAGAGGACACACTCACTTGAGGAAGTCCATTTATTTTTCAATACTTCTAATGATTAGAAATTTCTTCCTGTGACACAGAAGTAAACAATTTGAAATGAATGAAATATTTTTCAGTGGGAACATACTGAAGAGAACTTTGGACAAGTATAAATATAATATCTATGGAACAATGCTCTTTTTAAAGTAAACATTTTTATTTTGAGATAATTGTAGTTTCACATGCAACAGTAAGAACTAATACAGAGGAACCCTGTATACCTTTTACTCAGTGACCCCCAGTGGTAGCTAACACCTGGCAAAGCTGTAGCACAGTTTGACAAGCAGGGTGTTGGTACTGATAACAGTCAAGACACAGAACACTTCCCTCACAGGAAGAATCCCTCCTGTCGCCCTTTATGGCCACGCCCACCCGTCTCCCCAGAATTTATTCGACCTTTGGGGTTTGGCTTTTTTACTTATCATAGTTCCTTCAAAATCCATCCAAGTTATTGCATTTAGCAACACTTCCTTCTTTTTATTACTCAGTAACCTCCTATGGTATGGACATACTGCAGTTTGTTGAAGCACCCATCTGGTGAAAGACAGCTGAGTTGTTTCTAGTTTTGAGCTGTTACAAGTACAACTGTTACGAATATTCTTGTGCAGGTATTCGTAGGAATGTAAATTTCCATTTCTCTGGGATAAATGGCCAGAGAGTGTGATGGCTGGGTTGCATGGTAGTTGCATGTTTATCAGAAACTGACAGAATGTTTTGCCGAGTGGCTGTGTCGTTTTGCATTCCCGCCAGCAGCGTGTGAAGGACCTAGTTTGTCCATTTCCTCACCAGCATCGGCGTTGTCACCGTTTTATTTTAGCCATTCCATGGGTTTGCAGTAATAGCTCATCGTGGTTTTATTTTGCATTTCCCTAATGTAATGGCGTTGAACATCTTTTCCTGTGCTTTTTTGTCACGTGTGTGTCACCTGTTTAGTGAAGTATCTTTTCATGCCTTTTGTCTATTTCTAATTGAAATTTTCTTTACTGAGTTTTGAGAGTTCTTCATATATACTGTAGATAGTTCTTGTCAGATACGTAGTTTTTAAATACTTTCTCCTAGTCTATGGCTTGTCTTTTCATCCTCATGACAGAATCTTGTGCAGATTTTAATTTAGTGAGTCCAGTTTATCAGTTTCCCCTTTTACAGATCTTACTTTGGTTGTCAGATTGATCTCTTTTTTGCCTAGCCCTCAATCACAAGGTTTTGTTTTTTCTCTGTGTTTTTTAAAAGTTTATAGTTTTATGTTTTACTTTTTGATCTGCTCTTTGGGAGAAAAAAATTCAGTCTTTCATCACTAAGTATGAAATTAGCTGTAAGGTTTTCATAGATGTTCTTTATCAGGGTGAGGAAGTTCTTTACTAGTTTACTGGGAGGTTTTATCATGAATGGGTATTGGATTTTGTCAGATTTGGGGGCAGTCAGTGGCGTACGAGTTTTCTTTAGGCTGTTGATATTGTAGATTATATTGAGTTTCAATGTTGAATCAGCCTTGCATTTTGGAATAAATCCCACTTGATTGCACTGTATTCTTTTTATGTATTATGGAATTCTGTTTGCTGATATTTTGTTGAAGAATTTTGTGTCTAAGTTCATGTCAGATTTTGATCTATATTTTTCATTATTTATACTGTCCTTGTCTAGTTTTGGCATCATGGTCATACTGACCTCATAAAATGTACTGGGAAATGTTCTCTCCTCATTTATTTTCTGGAAGAGTGTGTAAAATTACATGATTTTAGAAATCGTGTTAATTCTTCTTGAAATATTTGATAGAATTCTCCAGTGAAACCTTCTTGACCTGGAGATTTTAAATTACATATTCCATTTCCTCAGGGGTTAAGGACAATTCAGGCTGTCTGTTTCTTCTTGGCTGAACAGTTTTTCTTTTCAAGAACAAATACTTTTTATGTGGTGGCTTCACATTTAAAGTCTTCACATTGTATAATCATCTGTAGGCTTTATTTAGATTTCTAAAATCATTTTGAACTTTACTGGACTCCAAAATTATTAGTAACATGGGCCAATGAAAAAATAAAACAGTTTCTCTCAGACTAGCTTGCAGAAAGGGAATTTCAGTTTTCTGAAATTTTCATGAAAGATCTCATCACAGGCTAATAATGAGTGCTGGGGCCCAACTCAAAGCAGGTAGAAAAGGTGGTGAGCAAAGTATTTTGAAAATCAGCACTTCAGGTGATTAAGTCCCCTCCTGTCAATGTCAGGGCCTTACTTAAGTGGGCATTAACATTTGTCAGAATCGGGCTCGCGCTGAAGGACTGGGTATGTTTATATTTATCCAAGGGATGCTGAAAAGCCCTCCAGAAATACTCTTTAATTGGCATTTGGTGTAACAGTTCAGATTCCACACAAATATAAGATGTCTTCTGGCATCCTACAATACCGTATGTATCTTAGGGAAGTCATTTCTTTGCTTCTAAGAATTGAACTTACTGATTTCCTATATTCACCACCATTATTATGAAATCTATTAAATTGATTATTGTGGTTTTCTGCAACTATAATCTAGAAAGAACTTTATTATCCAGGTATTCATTTCAGTTATGTTATTGTCTGTATTTTGACAGCATAAACCACAACATACTATTAAATGGTATATCCTTTAGGTAATAGTTTACTTAACACATTCTGTTGCTAAATGCTTAAATATGGACCCTCAGTTTTTTAATGATGCTCAAAATAATTTTTATTTGCTTATTTATTACAGCCTATTTTGTAATAAACTTTTAAATTTTAGAATAGTTTTAGATTTACAAGAGAAAAAGTTAAGATAATTTAAAGATGAGGGTGAAGTTATTAGAGAAGAAAGAAAGAGCAGGTGAAGGTTTAGAGGCAAATGAAAAGTGTTCCCAGACCCAGACTCTCTGATTTCATTGTTTTAGGGTGGGGCCAACACATTGACATCTTTAAAAACATGGTCTAGGGAAGCCTAGCGTGCGGCCAATATAGAGAAAGGGGAGATAAGCAGGTTCATGATTGACAGCTTTTAAAAACTTAATTTCATTGAGGAACAAGTGGGAATGGGGGGGCTTGACTGATTGGGTGACTGTATAGCATTGACAAGGATCCTTTATGAAACTAGAATACCCAGATTTTTAGTGGAGAATTTGTAGAATTAGATGATTTTCTTCCCCAACACTCAGCAATTTAGGAGCAAGAACACCCTCCGTAGGGGTTGACATATTTTATTTATTCTGCGAAGTGGCTTAGGTGAATATCGTGAGAATGGTAGTGAGAGTGTATTTGTGAGAGTATATTTGAAATGTGTAACTGTGGGTGCAAAGTTGGATAGGGGTCAGAGAAGCCAGGGGACAGTTGATAAACCATGTGTGATACAACTAAGCTTAGATTTTCACAAGAGTGAAGTACAGGTTTTGTGTAAAAGGAGGATGGGTTGAAAATTAGGAAGTGGTTATAAAGGACTTATTTAATAAATAAGTAAATTGCCAAAGTCTAGTGTGGCTGATCGCTGATGTTACAGGGAACCTTGAGGGAAGGGTGCTGAAATCACTCAGGATGGTAGTGTAACAGGAGAGGGAAAAAACTAAGTGAGCTGCAAGAGGGATGCCTTGGAGTTTGTTGGATGAGGATGATACGTTTATATTGTGGAATAATACAAATGTAAATGGAGGATCTGTTAAATAATAGTGGTTGAGCAGTGGTCTGAGATCTGCTGTCACTGAGCCAAGAGAGACTGTGAGCCGTATGATCGTGGGCAGAGTGAATCAGAGATCTCAAGGTGACAACGAAGATGAATGGGTAAAGAGGAGTTCTGAGAAAAATTTTAAAGGAGCAGTATTCAAATTGTGTCCCGTGTTAAGCCCCAGAGGGAGTTGTAGATTCACTGCGAAAGGCACCCTGTCACCAGCAGCCATTTTTTTAAAACATGAATTAAAGTCTCCTCGGTCCTTCTGTGTCAATGTAATTTTGAACCATTTCTATAAAACTGCTGTAATTTTTTATAATCCTGTAGAATCATTGAAAAGTTCATAGCTATATTTTTAAAAGATTTCCTTTGTGAGACTTCTCTGCTTTTTTTCTTTAAGAAAAAGTGAAATTTTCTTCTAGAGCTAACTCAGATTCTCCAGTTGCTTTTCTTTGCCGAAAGGCTGGCGAATGAGCTGTTGGCTTCCTTGTAAGCCCTCTTAGCCAGTTGCTCTGCTCTTCTTTCACAGTCAGTTTATTCACAAATTTCAGAATTCAATTCTCACCTTCCTCAGTGCTAACATCAAACTCCTTGGCCAAATAGAGTTGTTAATTAAGACTACTCAATACAGTTCTCACCTCCGGTAAGTGATAACTCCAAACTTCCTCTGTCAAATTGTACAATGAGGAATATTCCCCATAATTGCTAAGTCTTTTAAGATGCGTGCTACCACAGTTACTCACCTCTTCCAGAAGGCACTAAAAATTCTAAGAACAAAAGATCCTCTTCTAAAGTTATTACTGTAGATCGATACATACAAGAAAAAAAAATCCAGGTGAAGGAAAAGAAAAAAGTACTTGTAGAACCCAGCAGAATGCACACAGAATCAAAGGTTGGTAATGTGTTGGAAATTAACATATTGTTGGACTTCAAAT